CCGCGGGCTCAGGCAATCCACTCACCTCAGCCTCCCAAGGTGCAGAATTACAGGCTGAGCTACCAAGCCCGGCTCTACCCTCCATTTTCAGAACTCCTTTCATCTCACAAAACTGAAACTAGGCCCACTTATACCCATTCATTAAACAACAGCTCCCCATCCTCCTCTCCCAGCCCCTGGCACCCACCATTCGACTTCCTGTCTACCTGAATTTGAATACTCTGGGTCCTTCCTATTAGTGGGACCATGCAGTATTTGTGCCTGTTTTATTTCACTTAGCACATGTCCTCCAGGCACATCCATGTTGCAGCATGTCAGAATTTCCTTCCCTCTTAAGATCCAATAATATTCCAAAATACCACATTTTGTTTAGCCTTTTATCTGTCTATGGACACTTGGGTTGCTTCCACCTCTCAGCTGTTGTGGATAATGCTGCTGTGTATATGAGTGTGCAGATACTGTTTTGAGATCCTGCTTTCAATTCTCAGGGGTGTGTATCCAGGCGTGCAACTGCTGGAACACATAGGAATTTCCTTGACTTTTGGAGGAACCATCATACCATACCGACTGCCATCTTACATTCCCACTAGCAGTGCAGTGCACAAGAGTTCCAACTTCTCCACCTCCTCACCAACTTATTTTTTGTTTTTTTTATAGTAGCCATCCTAGAAGGGATGAAGTGGCATTTTGCTATGGTGCTGATCCATGTTTCCCTGATGACTAAGGATGATAGTGTCTTCATGTGTTTTTGGACCATTTGAACATCTTCTTTGGACAGATGTCTATTTAAGTCCTTTGCCCATTTTTTTCATCATGTTGTTTGGGGGTCTTGTTGAGATGTAAGAGTTCTTTATATATTCTGGATATTAACACCTTATCAGATATGGTTTGAAAGTATTTTCTCCCATTCTGTGGATTGCCTTTTTACTGTTTTTGTTTCTTTTTTTCTGAGTTGGAGTCTCACTCGGTCGCCCAGACTGGAGTGCAGTGGCTGCTCCCGGCCACCGCAGCCTCAACCTGCTGGGCTCCGGCGATCCTTCCGCCTCAGCCTTCCGAGTAGCCAGAATTACAAGGCATGCGCTATCACACCTGGCTGATTTTTTGATTTATTGTAGAGATGAGGTCTCGCTGCCCAGGCGGGTCTCGAACCCACGAGCTCAGGCAATCCACTCACCTCAGCCTCCCAAAGGCGTGGGATTACAGGCTGAGCCACCGAACCCAGCTAGCCTTTTTACTGTTAACAGTGTTCTTTGAAGCACGAGGTTTTAATTTCCATGAAGTCTAGTTTGTCTGTTTTTTTATTTTATTGCCTGTGATTTTTGTGTCACATCCAAGAGATTATTGCCAAATCCACAAAACTTTCCCCTATGTTTTAAGAGTTATTTTTTGTGTTTTTTTTTTGAGTTGGAGTCTCTGTCGCCCAGACTAGAGTGCAGTGGCATGCTCCTGGCCACCGCAGCCTCGACCTGCTGGGCTCTGGCGATCCACCTCAGCCTTCCAAGTAGCTGGAACTACAGGCGCGCGCTACCACGCCTGGCTAATTTTTTTGATTTATTGTGTAGAGATGAGGTCTCACCAAGTTGCCCAGGCGGGTCTTGAACCCGCGGACTCAGGCAGTTCACCTTGGCCTCCCAAAGTGCAGGATTACAGGCTGAGCCACCGAGCCCGGCGTTTGAAGAGTTTTTAAAGTTTGCATTTAGGCCTTTAACCCATTTTGAGTTAATTTTTGTATATAGTATTAGATAAGGGTCCAACTTTATTTATTTATCTGTTTGTTTGTTTGTTTGTTTTTTAAGACGGGATCTCACTCCATCACCTGGGCTGGAGTGCAGTGGCATGATCATGGACTCACTGCAGCCTCAACCTGCTTGCTCAAGTGATCCTCCCACCTTGGCCTCCCAAAGTTCTGGAATTATAGGCATGAACCACTGTGCTTGACCTAGTTATTTGTTTATTTTGGCAGGTAAATACTCAGTTGTTCCAGCATCATTTGTTGAAAAAGACTGCCCTTTCCCTCATTGAATGGTCCTGGCACCTTGTCGATGATCATTTGACTATATATGAGGGTTTATTTCTGGACAGATAAGTGATTTCTTAAAGATTAATTAACATTAGTTCCACCACTCCTATTCATAAATGTCTTGGTACTTTGAGTCATACTTCCAGAGTTGGGGCAGACTATACCCAGCCCTGCCAGGAGTATTCAGAGTCTTGGTACTGCTTTTTTCTGTTTTCCAAAGCCAAGCATGGTCTAACATGTATTTGACCAAATGTTGTTCTCGAATTTTTTGTATGTAGGGCCGGGCATGGTGGCTCATGCCTGTAATCCCAGTACTTTGGGAGGCAGTGGCGAGCGTATTACCTGAGCCAGGGAGGCGAGACCAGCCTGGGCAACTAGGTGAGACCTCACCTTTACAGTAAATCAAAAAATTAGCTATGCGTGGTGGCTACTTGGAAGGCTGAGGTGGAAGGATCACCTGAGCCACACAAGTCAAGGCCGCAGTAGCCATGATCATGCCACTGCATCCAGCCCGGGCAACAGAGGGAGACTCCGACATAAAAATATATATATGTTTGTATACAAATGGAGTTCACTTGCCACTTTCTAACCAACTTCACATAGAATGGCCAAGCAGTGCCTGAGTGTGAATCCTTTTTATGTGAAGTTGGTAAGAAAGAGTTTGATCTTGAACTTCAGCTCTGGCTGCAGCCCTTGCTTCCAAACATGCACCTCCTCCAAGCCCTTCTTCAGGTAGCTTGCTCTCTCTAACCGGTGGCTTTGTCTGATTCGTTGACAGATTGTGACATTTTTCTCTCATCCCAGCTGTGTGGACAGTGCCACACGCCCTCCTGAACAACGACGGCTCTTGCGTGCATCTTGCGGTGTTTCATTTGCCAGAGAGCCCAGCAGAGCCTCGTTACTGCCAGAGCCAGTACTGAGTTGAGTGAGGAGTGCCCAGCAGAGATGGTGAAAATGACAAAGTCCAAAACCTTCCAAGCTTACCTGCCGAACTGTCACCGAACATACAGCTGCATCCACTGCAGAGCCCACCTGGCCAACCACGATGAGCTGATCTCTAAGGCAAGTGTCAAAAGTTGATACAACACCCGTAGCATGTGGTTGTTTATCATTGTGGTACCTGCATAGTAGACAGATATTGAACTGTCACAAGACTTCCTGAATTTGGGGTGTCCTGAAGGTCTGGAGCCTCTGGGCAGCATTGGTGAAAGCTGTGTGTGTGTTAAGTGTGGCCACACCATGATCTTGGGCATGGTCTTGGCACAATGGGCTGGTTTTAGGGGTCCTGGCCACTGGGACTCCTGTGGATTACCAGGGGCAGGATAGTCAGTATTTCTCAGAGCAGTACAGTTAATGTAAAACCAGAGAGGCTTGAAGGAACAAGGGAGTCTAGATAATCTGCAGAAATCACTTAATAATAAGGGAATTAAGACATGTTTTAAAGCCAGGCATGGTGGCTCACGCCTGTAATCCTTGCACTTTGGGAGGCCGAGGTGAGAGGATTGCGTGAGCTCAGGGGTTCGAGACCAGCTGAGCAACTTGGCCAGAGCTCATCTCTACAATATCAAAAAATTGGCCAGGCTTGGTGGCACATGCTTGTGGTTCCAGCTACTAGGAAGGCTGAGGTGAAAGGGTTGCTTGAGCCCAGCAGGTCAAGTCTGCAGTGGCTGTGAATGTGCCACTGCACTCCAGCTTGGGTGACAGAGTAAGACTCCCACTCCAAAAAAAAAGACATGTTTTAAACTCAGCATGGTTGGGAAGGAAAGGGGCTGCTCAGGAAAACCCTGGGAGGGGGCATCTGCCTTGGCCAGGATCTGTGGGCACCCTGCAGTAAAGCTCAGCTGGGCTCCATGTGGGGGCCACTGGCACCCCTGGGGTATAAACAGGAACGCCCACATCTGCCCTCTCAAGCCAAGTCCCTTATTAGCAGCTTCTGATATTTATAGTCAACCAGTGGTGAACACTTAGAACAATCCAGATGCCAAGCTAATACTCACTCTGGAGACGACAGCCTCTATCACCATCCTCAGCAAAGCAAGGCTTCCACACATCTTCAGGAGGTCATGACCCCTGACCCATCCTCAGCTGGAAAATAGCTCCCCACCCACCCTCACAAGTCATGACCCCCCACCTACTCTCAGCAGGATCATGACACTCCCACTCATCCTCAGCAAGGCCATTACCTCTGACCCACCCTCAGCAGGTTCATGACCCCCAACTCATCCTCGTGAGCTGCATGAACCTCATGCTGCTTTGGAAAGAAAGCTTGTCAGGAGGTTGTGCCTTCAGGAATCTTTTCTTAGGCTTCTCATTTTAGAACAAGAACATTGCATCTACTTGATTTTCAGTAGACGATAATGGGAGGTTGTTAGTTTCTGCCCATCGTATGGAATAAACACTGGCAGAGAAGGCAGAGTTTCTGCTCTCTCGTTACTTCTGGGGCTTCGTGGTCCATTTGGAGGTGTCAGGTAGGATGTGGAGTCCCCTCACTCACCAGTTCTTTAGCATGCCCAAGGCAGGTCCGGGGTGTGTAACCGCATGGCAGGTTAATGAAAGGTGGGCAGCTCTGGGCCTCCAGGTATGTGCAGTGCAGCTGTGCCCTCTCTGAGCCTATCACCCCTGCGTGTGGGCCATGTCCTTTCACCTGAGCAGGTGGTCAGTGTTGGGCACCACGCACGGTCTTTTCTCTGAAGCATGCCAGGTACATTCATCATCAGGTGGGTCAAGAGGAACTGGGGATGCTGCTTTTGCAGACCCAAAGCCACTGAGCTGGTTTAAAACCACTTTAAGAGCAGAAGCCTGCCAGGAAGTCAGTAGAAAACATTCATTACCCTAAATGGTCACTTCAGGTTGAAAAAATGCCAAGAACCGAGCTCTCTAAGTACATAGGCTGCCAGCCTTGCAGACTTTGCTCTCACTGAGGCTGAAGATGACAGTCCTCCCTCCATGGGACTCCATATGGAGGAGGTTCTGGAGACTGAAGAACCTGATCACGTGACAGAGCCCAGCACAGAGGAGGCTGGAGGCACTGTCTTGACAGTCCATATTTGTCTTCTTCCAAGGGAGCTTGTTCTTGTCTGAAGGTCTGGTTGCTAGAAGGCTCTATCTGGTTAGTGGGAATGTCTGCCACACCACCTGTTTTGTAAAGTTTTATGGGATCACAGCCATGCTCAGGTGTTTAGAGAGTAGTTGGATCAGAGACTACATGGCCCTAAGCTATTTATCTACTGGCCCCCACTCTGGCAAGGCTAAGCTCAAAATCTGAATCCCAGAGCTGTGCCTATCACTGAACTAGACTCTGTTTAAAAAATAAAGACCAGCCGGGCTCGGTGGCTCAGCCTGTAATCCCGCGCTTTGGGAGGCTGAGGTGAGTGGATTGCCTGAACCCACAGGTTCAAGACCCGCCTGGGCAACTTGGCAAGACCTCATCTCTACAATAAATCAAAAAATCAGCTGGGCATGGTAGTGCGTGCCTGTAATTCCGGCTCCTTGGAAGGCTAGAACCCAGCAGGTCGAGGTTACAGTGGCCGGGAGTGGCCACTGCACTCCAGTCTGGGTGACAGAGTGAGACTCCAACTCAAAAAAAAAAAAAAAAAATAAGGACCTTCAGAATAGGTGAGCAACATAGAAAATTCAGTTTAGAAAACTGAAGACTGATGAGGGTGTGTGCAAAGTATATAAAATGATTATTAGTGAAATTGAACATAGAATATTTCTTTTTTTTTTTTCTGAGTTGGGGTCTCACTCTGTCACCCATGCTGGAGTGCAGTGGCAAGCTCACAGCCACTGCAGTCTCGACCTGCTGGGCTCAGATAATCCTTCCGCCTCAGCCTCCCAAGTAGCTGGAGCCACTGGCATGTGCCACCACACCTGGCTAATTTTTTGATTTATTGTAGAGACGAGGTCTCACGATGTTTCTCAGGGTGGTCTCAAACCCCTGAGCTCAGGCAGTCCACTCGCCTCTGCCTCCCAAGGTGCTGGGATTACAGATTTGAGTCACTGCACCTGGCAGAATAATATTTCTAATCCTAGAAAACCACTTAAGGTAATGGTCCTTTATAAGGCCGAAAGCTGTATTTTTAAATCAAAATGCTACCAGTATCAGGCTAGGTAGAAAAGAGCCTTCTTAATCTCAGTGCCTTAAAACAAGGTTTACTTCATGCTCAGGTAAGATGTTTATCAAGGGACAACTGGGGGCCTTTTTTTTTTAATTACAAAAGAAACTATTGCTTATAATCACACATTAAAATAATGTGTATGTATAAAGTAAAAAATAAGACATACTTCTTCCTCCTGTCTATGTTCATTTCATTCCTTGGAGTGATCACTGCTAGTCATTTGGCATGAGGTGAGGTTTTTTTTTTAATCTATAGAAATACATTTTCACTTTATTTACTATTTATTTATTTTAGTTGGAGTCTCACTCTGTCGCCCAGGCTGGGGTGCAGTGGCATACTTACAGCTATGGAGGCTACCTCAGCCTCGACCTGCTGGGCTCAAGCAATCCTTCTACCTCAGCCTTCCAAGTAGCTGGAACCACAGGCACACACCACAACACTTGGCTAATTTTTTAATTATTGTAGTGACAGGGTCTTGCCAAGTTGCCCGGGCTGGTCTCAAACCCCTGGGCTCAGACAGTCCTCTCGCCTCTGCCTCCTAAAGTGCTGGGATTATAGGCATGAGCCACCGTGCCTGGCCACATTTTCACTTTAAATACAGGGCCCATGTGACATGCATTTCACACTAGCCTACTTAATATTCCATCACTGTTCCCCCCGTTCCCAGCCCTGTGTGAATTCCAGATGTAGACACGGTTGTTTACTCACTTACTGATGGGCATCTGACTTACATTTTTTTCTCAATTATGAATGCTGGAACAATTATCATTCTTGTCACATTTCCTTTTGTACTCAAGCTGGTTTGTTCTTCAAAGTAAGTTATTAGAAGTGGAACTGCTGGGTCCTACAGTATGTGACTTTTACATTTAGAGAATGTCGAGTTGTGCTCCAGTCAACAATCCTCACAGTCATTTGAATGTGTGCTAGGGCAGTAGACCAAAAAAACACCCACGGAAGTGTTTTTTTTGTTTTGTTTTATTTTTTTAGTCAGGGTTTCTCTCTGTTGCCCAGGCTGGAGTGCAGTGGCACGATCACAGCTCACCACAGCCTCCAACTCCTGGTCTCAAGCAATTCTCTTGCATCAGCCTCACTAGTAGCTGGGACTACAGGTGAGCACCACCACGTCTGGCTAATTGTTTTTTGTTGTTGTTGCTGTTGTTGGGTTTTTTGTTTTGGTGGAGTTAAAGTCTTGCTATGTTGCCCAGTCTGGTCTTGAACTCCTGGGCTGAAGCAATACTCCCCGCTACCTCCAGCTTCCTAAAGTGCTAGGATTACAGGCCTGAGCCACTGTGCCCAGCCTGCATTTCTTTATTTTTGAAGTTGACTGTGTTTGGTCATCTGAGACTCACATGGAAGCAAATGAGCCTCCCATGCAGTGTTCCCCCGTCCCGTTTGGTAGAAAGTTGTGGAGCTTGAAGCTTGACCAGAGTTTGTCAGGAGCACAGATGCCCTCTTTGGATCCTTTACAGTTAACCCCTTAGAACACACAAATACACTACGAGCCACTTCCTAACTAGTAACATGGAGAGATGTCACTGGAAGGGCCTTTTCTTTAGAGCCATTTTGGGCTGTGACTGGATTTCTTTTTTATTTTAGTGAGAAAGTATGGAAATACAGTGATAAACCACTTTAGAAGATGCAGGAGAGCATTTGGGTGACCTGTGGTTTTCGGGTAGAAAAGCTCTTTCATGACCCTATCTTGCTTAGATGAAATTGTCTAAGCTGATGAAGCTCACCATTGTGAAACTGATTTTGCTTTGATTCTGCAAGTATACAGTCACTTGCATAATGTTGAAGTGAGCAGAGTCAGCCACTTTCTGACACAGTCTAGACACAAAAACAGTCTGTGGCTCTGTTTCATGGCCGTTATTACTAGAGGTGGAGTTTTGGACGGTGGTGCTGGTGTCTCCTGTGCTCTTTTGTATCCTGTCCTGGTGCAACTAACAGCACCGCCACGCAGCCCCAGGGTTTCTAGTCTTCCCAGGCCTGGCTGACTGCTCTCCTGGGTCCAGGCTGTCCTCCTTGATGGCTGTCCTGGGTCCAGGCTGTCCTCCTGGTGGCTTCCCTCCTGGGTGACTGGCCTCCTAGGCAGCAGTCATTTTGGGTCCAGGCTGTCCTCCTGGGTCCAGGTTGTCCTCCTAGGTGGCTTCTCTTACTCTGCATGGTGCTCGCAGCCCGCCTTCATTCTCTATCATTTGAGAATGCAAAACTCACCTTCCCTTGCCTCGCTGCAGCCATCTCATCATGCCTTCTTCTTCTTTGCAGTCCTTTCAGGGAAGTCAGGGACGAGCCTACCTCTTCAATTCCGTGTGAGTAGCTGGCACTAGTCTGCCGGGAGGCTCGGGTTCCTGTGGCATGGGAGGGCATTGATGGCATCTGAACATCCCCTGTGTAATTATTCAAAGCTGGAACATGTAAATGGAGTTCCATCTGCAGTCTCGAATTACCCAGTGTCTTTTTGTGACCTGGAAGAATCTATTTTCCCTGTCCAGGAATTTTTGAAAGCCTAATTAACTTCTCCGAGAACCAAGCTCCCCCTAGCCTGTCCTATCTTGGGATTCTTGTCGGGAGAAAAAAAGTACTTCCTCCCGTTAAAGGAGGTGGTGGGCAGGGGTGGGGAGCTGAGAGGGCACAGTGTAGTTCTCGGTAAAGTTCCTGGCATCTGGTAACTTTTGTCTGGCGGGTCCTGCTGAGGGGCAGGGCAGGCCTTCAGCGGTGGCCCTTCTGTCCCTGTAGGGTGAACGTGGGCTGTGGCCCTGCGGAGGAGCGGGTCCTTCTCACTGGGCTTCATGCGGTCGCAGACATCTACTGTGAGAACTGTAAGACGACACTCGGGTGGAAATATGTGAGTACCTGACACACACAGCAACGGCAACTAATCTGCCCCCGTGTAAACCCTGATAGACAACAGAGCACCATGCTTTCAAGTCGCATCTCTTTGAAAGCTGACTCGATACAATAGCTGCAGCGGGAACCCCTGACCAGCAAACCTGCAAACCTCTCTGTGCCAGGCCTGCTGGGTGGAACTCTTCACTAGCTCCTTCCTCCTCCACGACCTTGATGTGAAAGTCACCGTCTCCTCCCATCTCCAGCCTTGCCTCTCTCTACCTCACAGGGATCTACAGCCCAAAGCTGCCAGCCTGCCCCCTGCCCCTTGAGGCCCTGCACCCCCTTCCCTGCTCCTCCCACACTGGCTCTGAGGTCTCTGGACATTCCTCTTCCTCCTGAGCCCTTGGCTGAGACCTCCCCTCCCCTCTCCTCCCCTGGGCCACTTCAGTCTCCATAGTTTTGACTACCTGTGTGTTGATAGCTTCTCTCCTAGCAGGAGGTAGCTGGCCATCTCAGGGTTACTCCCATCCCCGACTTCTGGCACTTAAGAGGTACCATTTTGAAGGTATCTTCTGCCTTCTTTCTGACTCTGGTGTTCCTTAGGTCAGGGCCACCTGCTCTCCTTCTTTCTTGAATTCCTGTTCATGTCTGGTCTCCCAGATTTCCTGTGAGCTGTGAGGAGACACAGTACCCGGTCTTGAAAGGTACTCCCCAGGCTGGGCGTGGTGGCTCACGCCTATAATCCCAGCACTTTGGGAGGCCAAGGTGAGAGGATTGCTTGAGCCCACAGATTCAAGACCAGCCTGGGCAACTTGATGAGACCTCATCTCGACAGTAAATTAAAAAATTAGCCAGGCGTGGTGGTGTATGCCTGTAGTTCCAGCTACTTGGAAGGATGAGGTGGAAGGATCGCCGGAGCCCAGCAGATAGAGGCTGAGGTAGCCGTGAGCATGCCACACCACTGCACTCCAGCCTGAGTGACAGAGTGAGACTCCAACTAAAAAAAAAGAAAGAAAAGAAATGTGCTCCCCGAGGCCCACATGTGTCCGCAGCCCTCCTCCTGGTTACCTGCACCCGTCCCTGGCCCTCTTCCCAGAGCCCTTGCCCTCCCTTCTTGGCTACCTGGTATGTGCCTTTCTCTACTACTGCACCTGCTGCTTCCTGCTGGGACCACTCCTTTGTCTGCCACGAAGGACTCTCAGTCATCTGTGTCTCCAGCCTCTAATGCCAGGCCATGACAAAATGGCGAGGGAGTATGATAGAGGTGGTAAACTCCCCTCTTCTCCAGGCATCCTCAGCCCGTTTCCTTTGCTTTCCCTGCACCTACCTTCACTCTTGTTTTACACGGGATTCCCGAAAGTGTTGTGTTTTACACCTCTTCACGTCTCCTACATTGCCCACAGGTAGTAAATGTTCATTAAACAGGTTTGTATTAATATTGCCCTATAAGTTTAATGACGAGCTGAGTGTGGTGGTGTGCACCTGTAGTTTCAGCTACTTGGAAGGCTGAGACAGGAGGATTGCTTGATCCCAGGAGTTGGAGGCTGTAGTGAGCCATGATCACACCACTGTACTCCAGCCTGGGTGACAGCCTTGTCTCTTAAAAAAAGGGTTTAACGACACTTGCAAAGTAAACCTCTGCTTCCTCGGTGGACTTGTCACCTGGGACAGACCCCTCTCAGCACTGGGTCAGCAACAGCTTAGGGAACTTCGAGGTATATATAAAACTATAGACTTGGGGGTTTTGTCAGCAGTTCTGTGAACTTGAAAAATGAAACGGATTCTGTCCTGAAACCCCTCTCTGTGCTCTGCTTTTGCAGGAGCATGCCTTCGAGAGCAGTCAGAAGTATAAGGAAGGGAAATTCATCATTGAACTTGCCCACATGATCAAGGACAATGGTTGGGAGTAAAGTGAACACTTTCCTTTCTCTTTTGAATACTATTTTGTGAAAGAAACTATGAATGTGATAGAAACACAGGGCATCCTGGTGACATTTCCTGAACTTTAACCCTGCAGGCCGGCCATGTAGCTCTCAGCACCTGGAGGTCCCTCGCGACTCCTGGGTAAGGCATCCCCTCTCATCATTGGCTTCTTCATGTATGTGGTTGTTTCTGAAAATTTTCAACGACTTTTTTCTAATTTGCAAGTTCTAGAGGAAGAATTAACCAACTGACGACCTGTCTGCCTAGTCAGTATCTTCTTTTAACCTATGCCTTCAATATAGTTTGTGTTTCTTTAGTGTTCAACAGAAAACCAAACCAAGTCACCAAGACCACAGAGGCAGGGTCTCTTTAGAGAGTGAGTCTCACCTCTCCCTTTTTTTTAGAGTAAACGTATAAAAATTATAGCCCTTTTAATTTTCACAGTTTGCAAAACTATGAATTATCTATTCATAATCTTGCAGATGAACTGTTAAAGCATAGCGCTTAAGAATCTTCCAGAAGCGGTCAACAGACTTACACACTAAAGGCATTTTTAGCCTGATCAAAAACAGAGGACAGCACAGATAACATTTTAGTTAGTATGAGTAGAGTGATGTGCCTAGTGGAACATCTTGTTTAAGCCACTAGTTTCCTTATCTAGAAAGCAGGTGAACTAGTCATAGAGACGACTGCCCCAGGGCATGGAGAGGTGACATCCTCGTGGGGTCTGCTCCAGGGGTGGCACCCTCAGGGGTGACAGTGGCTTAGGTGTCCAGTGGCTGGTCCGTGTAGTTATAGAGTAACACACTGGCCCAAGGAAAAGTCAGATTTCATTTTCTACCCTGGATGTACTTGAAGAAAAAGAATTATTTTTACATAGGAAAGAGGCCAGAACCAACAGGAAAAACTTCAAAACTTGAGATTTGCCAGATTGTTCTAAACTTTTTTCAGAAGAAGTTAAAGTTGCGAGACCTTTGTAAATGAAGACATCTGGTTTGCTGACTATGTCGCCCTCCCTGCCTGTGCTGTCATGTGAACTGACAGTAGGGAACTGTGCGATCTCCTAAGTACTGTTTTAAGTTATGCTTCCCCTCCACCCATGCCTCCACAGGGAGTGAGTGCTACATGAGGCTTTGGCACCAACTTGCAGAAAGTGAAGGCCAAAAACCGTTCCCAGATAAGTTTGGGTTTTTGACATTCAGTAACCCTACTCGGAGCAGAGGGCTTGGGGGAGGTGGAGAGGCAGGAGGGAGGAGAGCCCAGTGCCCAGATAATATTCCTCAGCCTGGTGGGTGGCTCTGAAGTGACCTTTAGGCCAGGCTAGTCTAGTGGCAGTACAAACTGGTGAGGGCAATGAGAACATGGCCTCCAACCCCATCCTAAGCCCAGACCCATGGCCAATACAGGCCCTGGGCTGTGCCCACTCTGGCTCACTGCCCACCCTAGAGTGTGGCTTTGGGTGCCATCTCCTTGCCCAAGACTTAAAAGCCTTGGAGGGTGGGAAACGCCTTTGTCAGGCCCTGTGACCCAGTGGGCACAGCGGGCAGCCCTGAGACACATCAACTCAGCAGGAGCAGCAGTGGCAGACGTTCCTCTAAGCACATCCTCCATTTTAAAAAGGAAGGAATCTTTATCCAGCTTCATGAGCTGCTGTGCTTGGCTGTGGCCCAGCAAACTGCTTTGTCCTGGAGCTGGTTGCCCTGTGAATCCAGGCTGGCCATGCAGGCTGTCTCCTGAGCTAGTGTGCTGCTGTCCAAAGCGTGGGGCTGCTGCTTGCCACTGGGCCCTGGATGCCAGTCTCAACCCTGAAGGGGCTTCCTCACAAGCTGGCACATTAAGTCACCATGGCTGTGGCTTCAGTCCGTCATCTGTGACTGTGAAAGGGGTGAAAAACACCTTCCCTGCTGGAGGAATTCATACTAATTGAAAGCTAAAGCAGATCCTTTCCTTCTAGGCTTCATTTCTCTCACACGTGGGAACCAGCCTCCAAGGCCCCACAGGACGAGGAGAAATGGTCAGAGGGCTCGTGCTGTCACCAAACTGCTGGGGATACTCAAGAGCAGCCCGGTTCCTGAGCGTCTTTGTAAAATACTTCACTTAAATTGAAGAATCTGGCTGGGCAAGGTGGCTCATACCTATATTCCCAGCACTTTGGGAGGCTGAGGTGGGAGGATTACTTGAGCCCAGGAGTCTGAGACCAACCTGGGCAAAATAGTGAGACCCCTATCTCTACAAAAAATTAAGATTAGCTGGGTGTGGTGGTGTATTCCTGTAGTCTCAGGTACTCAGGAGGCTGAAGCAGGAGGATCACTTGAGCCTAGAAGGTTGGGGCCGCAGTGAGCCATGATCGCACTACTGTACCCCAGCCTGGGCAAGAGCCAGACCTGTCTCTAAAAACAAAAAAAAAAAATTGAAGAGAGAATCTTCTAAAATGTCTTCTGACCGATTTTTGTATATACTAAAATTCTATTTAAAGCTTTTATATGTTCTGGGCAAGTTTATGGCTCCTTCAATTTGAGCACTTTGGTTTTTGTATTGTCTTTTGTGATGGCATTGATTGAAAATTTTTTACTAGTACTCTTCTTATTTTGTATTTTTTTTTTTGTAATTGATACCAACAAAACTTTTATCACTTTTGTTGTTGGTCTTCCACAAAATACAAGCTCCTTTTTAAACCAAATGAACTGACCGTGAGCTGGCTTCAGGGGAAGTGATATTCACAAGACCATAACCAGATGAGCTGGTAAAGTGCTAGAATGTTCCACTCTCTTAAATTTCTAAACAGATATCATCCATCACTTTTATTTAAATTATTTAAACTAATTTTTCCTTGAGAGCAGTGGGAGGTAATGTCAAGATTATAAATGCATTTAACTTAAACTAGTGTCCCTGGCGCAATATATTTGCTTAAGAAATGTGGCTTTGTTGTTTTATACACACACACACACACACACACACACACACACACACACACACAGTATTTTTATACCTTAACACCTATTCTTGATGGTATTTGTCAGATATTAAAAAGGATCAGAAATGAGAATTTTCCCAAGTCCTTTAATTGCCTGATGTCCTCACCAGGTAACTACAAAATCCAAGTGGTTTTAGTATCTAGAAAACTACAATTTAAGCTCTAAAACGAACTGCAGAAATTTAAGCCCTCATTTGCCAAAGGCCCTTGGTCCCTGTCCTCTGTCCTGGGGATGTGGGTCCTCATGGCCTTTCCCTACTGCGCAGGCCTCTGGGCGAGGCTGGAAGGTCACCAGTGGCTTGGAGCTGGTGGAAGTATCGCCAAGAGGAGCAGGACTCAAGCCCACGGGCCGGCTCCAGTCTCCCCTGTCTTCTGACCATGCTGCCAGGCGTTGGTCTTTGTCTGTCTGAGGTTTACAAATAAAGCTTTCTGATGTCCAGTGTCTCTTGAATCATGCCCACAAGTGGATGCGGCCAGGCTTCCTATGGTGCCACTGGAGCAGAGGCTGTCTTGGGGTCTCCAGCTCCTCCAGAGCCAAGGGCGGTACAGTCCTGCTTCTCTGTTCCTGCCATAAGGAGCTTTTGTGGATGGCCAGAGAAAAGCATAGGGATAGTTAGGGCCACTGCTACCTCCCCCATGCCAAGGGTAGGGCCATCCCCTCCCCACTTGGTCTTCGCCCCCACCTGTACCCCTAAGCCACAGGCACTGGCTTAGAGGCTTAGAGGGGTGTAGACATCTGGGTGGTCACACCCGGCTGGACTCCCTCTTTTGCAGAGCTGAGTCATCAGACCACCTGGGCCCAGACCAAGCTCAACTGAGGTCAGTGCCTGGCAGGAGGCATGAGGGCGTGGGATGTCCCCAAGAGCCCAGGGCCCCGACTGAAGATCATGGGCAGAGCTGGGCATCTGCAGAAGGACAGGCAGGAGAGGATGTGAAGGCAGCCAAGGCACAGACCTTGTTTGCAGCATGAGGCAGTCCCTGTTGGGGCAGACATGCCTGGCACAAGTCACCACGTGTGTGTGGAAGTAGATGGGGATGGGACAGGGAGGTGGGGAAGGCTCTGCACCCTCCAGGGAGACAAGGCTGGGCCTGTGCTCCAGCATCAAAGATGAGAAAAGGAAGTGCTAAGGTCCATTCTGGAAGCAAGCTGTCAAGGCGTGCTGACAGGTTCAAAGGCTTGGAGTGGGAGGAGAAAAACTAAGAACCAAGCCTAAGTTAGGGTTTAGTGTGATGAGCTGGAAAGGGGTGGTGGGCCACATCCTAGGGCAGGGTATCCCAATGAACTCTGACTGAGGTAAAGAGAAGCAAGGTAGCCGGGCTCGGTGGCACAGCCTGTAATCCCACGCCTTTGGGAGGCTGAGGTGAGTAGATTGCCTGAGCCCGCAGGTTCGAGACTCTCCTGGGCAGCGAGACCTCATCTCTACAATAAATAAAAAAATCAGCCGGGCATGGTGGCGCATGCCTGTAATTCCGGCTACTCGGAAGGCTGAGGCAGAAGGATCGCCAGAGCCCAGCAGGCAGAGGCTGCGGTAGCCAGGAGTGGCCACTGCACTCCAGTGTGGGCAACAGAGTGAGACTCCAACTCAAAAAAAATTTTTTAAATTAAAAAATAAAATAAAAGCAGCCTGTAATCCTAGCACTTCGGGAGCCCGCGGGTTTGAGACCAGCCCAGGCAACTTGGTGAGACTTCGTCTCTACAATAAAAAATAGCTGGCCGCGGTAGCATGTATCCATAATTCTGGCTACTCGGAAGGCTGAGGTAGAAGGATCTCTGGAGCCCAACAGGTTGACACTGGGGTGGCTATGAGCATGCGTGCCACTGCACTCTAGCCTGGGCGAAGAAGTGAGACTCCAACTCAAAAAAAAAACAGCCTCAGTGCTCCAGCCCAGGTCCTCAGCCTTCACAGCCAACAGGAGCGATTTAAAAAGTTTGTCAGGCTGGGTGTAGTGGCTCAAGCCTATAATCCTAGCACTTTGGGAGGCCGAGGCGAGAGGACTGCCTGAGCCCATGGGTTCAAGACCAGCCTGGGCAACATGGTAAGACTTTGTCTCTACACTAAATCAAAAAATTAGCTGGGCATGGTAGCACACGCCTATAGTTCCAGCTACTTGTAAGGCTGAGGCAGAAGGATCTGAACCCAGCAGGTTGAGGCTGCAGGGGCCAGGAGCATGCCACTGCACTCCAGCCTAGGCAACACAGAGACTCCAACTCAAAAAAAAAAAAAGGGGGGGGTTTTGTCAACACAGGCTGAGGGCCCCCCTTCCCAAAAAGCTCAGGTCTGAGAACATGTATTTCCAGCAAGGCCTAGGCAATGGCAGGGGACCACACTGATAGTGTATATAGGTCATCCCTGAGAAGATGACAGAAGACAGGGTAAGAGAACCAGAGTCGGAGCTGTACACGGTGGCACATGCCTGTGATCCCAGCTACTCAGGAGGCTGAGGTGGGAGGATCACTTGAGCCCAGGAGATCGAGGCCAGCCTGACCTACATGGTGAGATCCCGCCTTTAAAACAAAAAAAAGAAAACCAGAGTAGGGAGACACAGTCCTTCCTCACTAACCCAGCCTGCCCACTAGAGGCCTAGACCCCCGTCTGGGTCTAGGGCAGGCCCCGTGGCTTGAGGCTTTGGCTGGGCCAAAACCCTGGAAACAGAGCCAGGCCCCTTGGCACCAGGTAAGAGATGGGGAGGGTGTGGGCTCCCAGGAGCCAAGAAAGGGGACCCAGGCCACAGGCAAGAGCTTTATTGGACGGAAGGCAGGAGATGCGGACATGGCCCCAGTACTGCATCATACCAGGATCCAGAGCAGCCAGTCTGCTGCTACCAGGAGCTGAAGTCCCCAAAACCTCCACTGGGCTTTTTCTTGGCCACAGGGACAGCGGCACTGGTTGAGGGCTCTTCCTCTGCTGCTCGTTTCCTAGGAGAAAAGAGCCAGGCTCCAGCACCATGTGGTGCCAGGCCCTACTGGGAGCCTGTGACCTCGTGCCCTCCCACCTCCCATCTACACACAAGCCCCCAGTAGGCCTGCACCCCTAAACGTAAACTGCTGTTCCCACGTCCAGTGGTGTCTGAGTCCACCCTCAGGAAGCATCATGTAAAGCAGGAGATGCCAGCCCTGCCCACTTACGTGACAGCTGGATTGATGTACTTGCCCACCCCCTGGCGGTACGTCTGGGGTCCCTGGCTCCTCGCTTGGGGCTGGTTAGTCTTTACTTTGGTCTCTGGGGCCACCTCGAGCTGTGTCTTCTTCCGCTCCTCAGCGATCTGTGGCAGGACAGAGCTGTGTTGACCCTGGGCTGGAGGTGAGGAAAGAGGACCCACCCAGATCCCTCTCCAGGTGGCAGCATTGTGCCCCTCACCTGAGCATCAGCCTCCTCGTAGGGGTCCACAAACACCGTGGTGGTGTCGATGCGGATCTCCTCCTAGTGGCAGAGGGGGCTGAGTGTGCAGCAGGACCCTCCGTCCTGCCTGCCAGCTGGCTCCCAACCCCCTCCACCCCGCATCTCCCTGGGCACAGACCTTAGGGCGATCAGTTTTGGGGTCACTCTCCACATTCTCCATGGCTGTCAGTGTGTCAAAGCCCCCAACAACCCTGCAGCAGAAGATAGAGGCAGGTCTGCATGTGCCCAGGGCAGGGCAGGGCACCCTGCCCCCCTGCCCACTAGCTAAGTCCCCAAGGCCTGCCAGGAAGAGGGGCCTGAGAACAGTCCTGGGGCACTGAAGCCCTGCAGAGGCACCACACAGTCAGACTGGCCTGACAGTTCCTGGGCAGCAGCCAGGACAGGCAGGACCCAGGAGAGGCAAGGGTGGGTAGCTGACAACAGCTCTGGGCAAATCCACCTGATTTTATACATAAAGTTTTATTTGGACAGAAGCATGCCCATTTGTTTCTATACTGTCTACGTGTTTCCTGCTGCTACTGCACAGCTGGGTTGTTATCACAGAGAACATGTGGCCCAAAAGGCTGAAAAGACCACCCAGGTCTCTACAGAGAAGTCTGCTGACCCTTGGACTAAGAATGAAGAGAGATGCGTGGTCAGACACAAGGCTGCGGCGCCATAGATTCTGCACCAGGGCCAAGGCTCCTCCTCTCCAGAACCGAACGGGTATGGAGAACCATACCTCTCTGCCCACAGAGGTGCCAAGTCCAGCTCTGCACAGCCTCACCCCCGGCAGTGACAGCAGGGAGGACCCAGACTCAGGAGAAGACAGCAAGGGGGTACCAAGTGGGGAGGAACCTGCCTGGCCCACTGACTCCACAGACTAAATGAGCCACTTCTCTTACCGTCCAAAGATGGTGTGCTTCTTGTCGAGGTAGGCACAGGAACGAAACGTGATGAAGCTGGGGAGGAGGCGAGAGTGTTAGGGAGAGCATGGCGGCTTCCCTGCCGGCCTGCTTGGGCACACACCCGGAGCTACCCACCCTCCAGAGACACCCGTGTATGTGTGGCTCCCCCACCACCCATGGGGCAGGCTGTCAGCCAGGGCTGCCCAGCCCTCCAGAGCACCACTGCCCCCAGGAATTCCTGCTGCCCAGCTGCTGCCTGCCACCCATGGGGTGGACCCTGAGCCCGGAGCCAGCCTGCCTGTGCAGCCACTGTGGAGGTGGCTGGGATGAGGGGCAGGGCACATGGAAAGCCAACACCAGTTCCACCCATCAAGGGACCTACAGAAGGACCAAGGACTCCAAACCAGGAGAGAGCATGCAACAAAACCAGAATGGGAGTAAAGGTATGGGAAAGCAGGGTATGTAAGAAAGCATGGGGCTGATGTGACCTAAAGATAGGATGAAATCGAAACAACCAACAGCACTGCCACGGGCCAGGAGGGTCTGTCTGAAAGGAAGGCATTCATAACCTTGGATTTTAAACAGATGTCCTTCTTGACTTTTACCAGGAGAAACAGAAGAGGAGAAAAAGGAAAGAAATGTTAAAAGGGGTAACTAGAAAGCACCAAGTAAGACCATAGAAGGAAGGAGGCCAACGGGCAGGTTAAGTACACATGTAAGCTGTCAAGGAGGTGTGAACAGACACCCTTAGATGGAGACCCTGACAGGCTGAAAGGCAAAGGAAGGAAGACACCAGACAAAAGGCATCCAGATGGGTCATGGAAGAGAGTAGGCAGCCCTCCCCAGAGATGGCACACATAGACACAGCCTACACAGACTTTGCTAGTGAGAAACACAGGACTTAATCCCTAAGCTGCACTCACCTTCCAGTCAAGTAGGGACACACTCTTGAACCTTCCAGGTCTGACCACACTCAAACACACAAAGACACATCTACAAAAACGTCACACCTGCCACAGTGCAGACCTGAACTCTGACTCCAACTCTGACCTCTTGTTCAGTGATTTTTAACACAGTTGAGGAAGCTCGAAAGAGAAGGAAATAGGCCTGAACAGGAAGAAAATACAAGAATGATCCTAAAGACAGGTTCCAGTCAGGCATGGTGGCTAAAGCACATAATCCTAGCACTTTGGAAGGCCAAGGTGAGAGTTTGCCTAAGCCCGCGGGTTTGAGACCAGCCTGGGCAACATGGTGAGACCTTATCTCTACAGTAAATCAAAAAATTAGCCAGGCGTGGCAGCAGGTGCCTGTAGTTCCAGCTACTTGGAAGGCTAAGGTGGAAGGATCACCTGAGCCCAGCAGGTCAAGACTGCGGTGGTCATGAGCATGCCACTGCACTCCAGCCTGGGCAATAAGAGTGAGACTCCGACTCAAACACGAAGGAAAAAGAAGCACAAAACATATCACAATTAAAAGAGAAGGTAGCAGCTGGGCTCGGTGGCTCAGCCTGTAATCCCGTGCTTTTGGGAGACCAAGGTGGGTGGATTGCCTAAGCCTGCGGGTTCGAGACCCACCTGGGCAACTTGGCGAGACCTCATCTCTGCAATAAATAAAAAAATTTGCCAGGCGTGGTAGCACTCGCCTGTAGTTCCAGCTACTTGGAAGGCTGAGGCGGAAGGATCGGAGCCCAACAGGTTGAGGCCACGGTGGCCGGGAGCGTGTCACTGCCCTCCAGCCTGGGCGACAGAGTGAGACTCCAACTCAAAAAAAAAAGGTAGCAATGACCCAACAGCAGTTTTACAGGCTAGTTAAGCCAAAGAGTTAGAAATCAACAGTAAACGATAAGGCAAGCCCCCCCCAAACAACAACCAATCACACACCCAGCTGACCTGAGAACAGAAAGAATTAAAAGGAAGCTATCACAACAGGCAATGGAGATGGTATGTGCACTCCCCACCAAATGGCTGAGGTGCTTGTCTTCATGGCCAAGAGCCAGATGGTAAGCCAGAACGGAAGAGGCACAGAGACCCTGAGAGGCATCAGTTGAAGACAAAATGAAAAAGATAGCCGGGCTTGGTGGCTCAGCCTGTAATTCCGCGCCTTTGGGAGGCTGAGGTGAGTGAATTGCATGAGCCCGCGGGTTCGAGACCCGCC